AGGAGAAGGAAGCCCTGAAGAAAGCATACCAGCTGGAGCCCTACCCCTCCCAGCAGACCACCGAGCTGCTCTCCTTCCAGCTCAACCTCAAGACCAACACCGTCATCAACTGGTTCCACAACTACAGGTACGGCCGCTCCCGGGCTTCAGACGTCTGGTGGTGCTGTGCCACCAAGGTGGTGTCACCATTCTTCTTCCAGCCCTCCCAGTTCCTCTTACGTAGACAGGGAGGTGCAGACCTATGCGTGGTCACTGGAGGTCCCCAGGTGCAGATTGCAGCTCAAACAGTGCATGTGCCTTTGCTGACGGGTGGTCAAGAGATGGTGACCACCTTGGCCAAGTCATATGGAGCATCTAAAGAGGTTTGCGTGCATGGGACACCACTTGCCACCAAGCAGGAATTCCATGATGGGTGGAGGGAAGCCTTGTGGAAGCTCCTGGAGCCCAGGATCCGTCTGCACAGCAGCCTGGCCCAGGGGAGCAGCGCAAGCGTCATCCTCACGCACTATTGCAGGTGGACACGTAGCTCTTGAGTCCTCCTCCGACCCATGCAAGAGCTGCCCACTCTCTGGGTTGACAGCACAGGTGATGGGTTTTGTCCCCTTCCTCTATGTAAACCGGTATCAAAAGACATGTAAGTGCTTGTGTCGAGTCTGCAGAGCCTCCGACTCCACTAACATAAAGTAGACAGTCAATATTTATGGGAGCTGGTCAAGATTTCTCGCATGAAACCATTGCATGGGAGAGAGCTTGAAAAATCAGGGGGTTTTTGACTAATGGTTTTTTTAAACCTGTGACCTTTCCCCTTGCGTAGTTCCAGAAAAGGCTCTCCTGCCCTTGGTAAGCGTAACTGCCCTAAACATAACCCTTGGAAAAATGTGACGTATTCAACAACAACGACAAAAAAAGATAGTGGGAAACACTTGCAAAACTGGTTCAGTTTGGCTGGAAACAGCCCAAAGTGTTGCAAAATCTATTCACTGTGTTCAAGGGGTAGTGATTTCCCACCCCCTCCTAAAAAAAAAATGTTTTAAAGGCCAGCAAGGTGGAGTTTAACACCTCAAGCGGTGTTGTCTCATTTTTCTGACTGGAGATGCTTCCCCGAGACAGTCGGCTTTCACCGACCCTCTGCTGTTGTGTCCCGGCAGGTCGCGGATGCGGCGGGAGATGTTGGTGGAGGGCACACAGGACAACGACACAGACCCAGAGCAGAGCGGTGGGGCGACTGTGCCTGGGCGCCGGGCCCCCCAGAGCCCTGATTCGGACGCCGAGGACCGTAAACCCATGTTTTGTG